GTAGAGTTAATTATTCAGTTCTCAGGTTAGTTCCTAGCAAAGATAGCGTGGACAAAGGGAAATAAGCCTGGCGCCAAATACTTTTACGTGTCCTCTTATTGCTTATTTGTTTATACAAACGGCTGTCCATAATGGGAGGACTTTGTTTGCAACACACACACGCACACACACAGACACACACACATATGTAATGTGTTTTTTATTGAGATATATTTTCAGCACTTCGGTTTTTATCATCTACATAAAATTTTAGAAATCTTTCAGTCAACTTGATATTCCGGCTTCGTAGCGACTTACCCTCCTTAAATTCCGATTTTAAGCACATGGTCTGTATCCCCTTTTATTGTATTATCAACCTAGAACCAAAGGTCCTGAGCGGTCACGGAACTACACAATAAAGACAAACCTAGCATGTATCTCACCTGTAGTCAACGTTGTATTATCAACCTATAACCTAAGGTCCCGAGCGGGCTCGGAACTGCACAATAAGGACAAACCTAGCATGTATCTCGCCGGTAATCCACATTGATTATTCATATACCTCGACTCGACAGTAATGCGCTAATGGAGTTATTTCCCTTATTGCGTATGCGCTTAATACCATGTTTTCTTTAAGCATGATCTGCCTTAAATTTCTTTGTTTTAAATTAAATGTATATCGAGTTTATAAATTCTATATACATGGCTGAAACCCCATGTACAAGTAATAGAGTCATGTCCTAACTGAAAGCAAGAGGATTGGGATGCAGAGTGTGTGTGTGTGTGTGTGTCTGTGTGTGCTTGCCAGCAGGTTAACATTTTCATCCAATATTAAGTTGACAGTGAGTCAAACGAGAATTGCTCTCAGTGGATTTAAAAAGTATAATTACAGTGAAATCTGATGCGCATTAAAGGAATTTATAAATTAAGCGAGCAATAGAGCGTAATAAACTAACATCTAACATCTTACCGATAATTGTTCGCTAGGATTGAAAATTTATACTATGTAGAGTCGAGGTAATATATACGATATTATTAGTAATAATCACCCACCCCAAACAACAACAAGAACCTCTCTCAACAGTTCAGGGGCTATAGGCTGTAGTAAGTACTTCTGTCTCGGAGCTAGTGGATGAGTGATGACAGCTGCCTTTTAGCTAATGCACACTATGTGGCACTGACGAGACATTTCGTCCTAGACGACATCAAAAAGAACTTTTCCTTTACAAGATAAAATATTATTACCATTTTTGTTTTATTTCAAAGAGAATGTACTATATTCGATTTAAAATTGAACAATTATTTAAGTTTTATCTCCACACAACAGATAGTTATAAAGTGCAAGCGGAATCTAAAAGCAGCAACTATGCGTCGAGCACCTACGGTTTCTTTCTGGATTATGTACTCCCTCCCCCTCCCCATTCGCATTGGTAGTAGTATCTTTTATGAAGCAACACTAGTCGTAATAGTAGCATTATCAGAAACAATATAAACAACAGTTCCAACAGCAGCTTCAATAATAATAATAATAATAATAATAATAATAATAATAATAATAATAATAATAATAATAATAATAAATATGTAGCAACGAAAATCATTTGTTATGAATGGTCCTGATACGCGGAGGCAGTTATTTTCAAGTGCACTAGGTCATTTTTTCACCATGGGAATTCAGACTGTTGCATGTTTCTTACGGATAAAGCACAAATCATGTCTAAATCGTTTCACCTGGTAATGATAAAAACACTAATCGTATCTAAAAACTTTCCATCTGTTAATGATAAAGAAATATCCTGCTCGGACTAACATACATCTAATAATTAGGTATTTAATAGTAGAGACGGTTACGTGAGGATGTTATCGATTTCCTGCACAAACTTCCTTTCAAGGTGGACGCTTTTCTTTCATAAGGAAATATTATTTAATGTGAGATCAAGAGCAAGCATTCTTGTTGATGGAATGCATGGGTATTTGCAGAATTTAAAAATGGACTGAACTAAGTATGAACGAGGTTGTTTTTTTTATTAGCTTCGTCTTTGAAAATGCTTTCTTTTGATATTATCAGTCTGTTAAAACTTATAAAATGTTCTCTCCTTCTATGATGAGATCCAATATTTTTTAAAAACAAAGGGAAGATAATTTTGTCAGTTGTTGTTATAGGGTTTAACGCCATTTTTCAGCACAAGATAGGCTATACATGGCGGCCGGTATTAATGGTGGAGGAAGAACCCGCGAAAACCCAGGAAAGAACAGGCTTCTTCACTAAGCAGACCGATGTGGGACGGCAATGATCCATGCCGATGAGCGCTTTAGACCACGTGGCCACTCGCCCCCCCCCCCATTTTGTTAGAGAGTCACTAGTCGTGACTGTTATTTCAAATATCATATATCATATGTACATAAATGTGAGAAACTACGTAGCTTACAAAATTTAAAGGAGCTGGGGAATGACATTCCAGGTGACAGTCCTGATTGGAAATGGTTTTTCATAAAGACAAAATACTGCGACACGACAACGCGGAACGTAGTCGGCTGCCGAACATTTCAGAAACAGTGTACGATTGCCTATTGTCGATTAACTTTACACCCCCGTTATATTTGTCAGATATAAAATTATAAATAAGATCCGACCCCACTGATTCATGGGATTTTAGCGGCTATTAATTCGATATGAATAGATAAGAGAATATTATATTCTGGGTGAGTATTGTTCTTTTCTGGGCCTTGGTACTTTTCCACAGTGGAACAGGAGATCTGTTATCTGTCATTGTATTCATCCGCGGCGTGAATTTGATGTTAATCACAAAACAACAGGCAGCGCACAAAATATGGCCAGGGTTTTGTGTAATTGCTGCTTATCCCCTTCAATAAGCAGAGTTTTCAGGATGCCGAGACAAGTTAAATGTTTTTTTTTTTTTGTTTTTTTTTTTTGTCTTATCTGCAAAGTTAGCAGAGTGGAGTGAAAGCGATGGTGCGAACAACATTTGTCATATATGCACGAGACGTAAAACCTTTTCACAACACAGATGGACATGTTCACATCTAATGCTTGTAGTTTTAATTGCCAAGTTTTCGGTTTCTTTTTCTTGTCATACAAATTTCAAAGACACTCGTTTATGTTACAAGTGTTCACATAAAGTCTACCAAATAAAATATAAAGTACAAATATGTTAGCGTGACAAGGTCTGGCAACAGCACTGATTCATACGCTTTTATCTTAGCTGCTTCGACTTATATTTAGTCCTTAATAATAAACTGCTGTTATTTTACGTTGGATACAAAAGAGTTCCTAAAACTTCTGTAAATTATTAACAAAGGCATTCTTTTCAAAGTATAAAAATACTTGTATTATCTCACCCCTACTCTTGTGACTGCTTTCCGTGTGGCCTACAGTCATAGATACCCACAAACAGGAAAAGGCAGGTTGTACACAGAGGGTTCCACTTCAGTTTATTCCAACGTTGTTTTTGTAGGTTGGCAATTACAAATTGTTGACATCTTTGACGTACCGTTTGTGCTCATTCTCAGGGCCGTTATAAGACATGTGGGGGCCCTAGGCACACACAAAACTGGTAACACAAACGACACCAGAATTTTGTTTTTTGGCCGCTGCTGGGCCTCCTACTACACGGGTCCCTAGGCATGTGCTTCGCGTGCCTATGCCATAAAACGACACTGCTCCGTCTGTATTACGGCGTATTAACGGCGAATCGCAAAAAGGGAATAAAAACAGGAACTACACTCATAAAATGCTCATGGAAATCTCGTTGTACGCAGTTCAAGCTATACTCTGTGTACAGAAGACGTGTATGTTCTTATCTGGCACGTCGGCGTCTTGTTTAACGTCTTTATTTTTTAGTTTTTCTCTGACATTATATGTACTCTTACTGCCTTTTGCAACTGAATATGAGTAGTAAGTCTAAACGCCTGCATTTTACTGGGACTCCATGGTCATGGGAAAGTGAGCAAGAACATCTATGGCATGCATTAAAAAAAAACCTAAAAGACTGTAGATGTACATATAGACAATGTTTGGCGCATCGTCTTTTCAGTGCCTGGGTTACGTCAATACATGGGCCGACGCTTTTACAGTTACTAATGTGCACTCGTAGAAAGAAAAGAACGAATTATCCATTGATCTTTAAAACAAGTTAAATAGGAACCCTTTGATATTTTAGCGCAACATAATTGGATTTGCATTTCTTTAAAAGCGCACTGAGGAGAAACTTTACCAAGTAGTTAAAATACCGTTTATACTCCCTTATAAGACGAGGCAAACTGTAAACAACAAAGACACTGATCTGCCGTATCATAAATCGCCTCCATATTAGGGTCGATACTGTTTATTTTACTGATTACTCCTAACAAACTGCACAGAACCAGATCTGACGAAGCATTACGCGACGGCAGATCTGGTACTGTGCAGTGTGCAGCTGGACTAGAGTTATAATCGAGTACAACGGTATTATCCAAGAGAAAATGTTACAGCAATAAGAAGCCAGGATAATAATAATGCAATTTAGCTCAAAATTTTAAGCTAAATGTTATGTTGCGACTAGCAAATCTCAAATGTACGGATATCAAATTAGATTCATTTCTCCGTCGAATTGGATTGTATTTATATTAAGGCCAAACAAATGCTACGTCAAATCAAGATCTTTGTTGTTTGTAGGTTGACTGGACTTATATGCGACTATATACGTTTAGAGTAGGTAATATTCGAAAAGAGAGCTGAAATTTTCGCGGTTTCTTCGAATACATATACAATTTATAGGTAACCTAAAATACATAACTTCTTTACAAGATGACCGTATGTGTACCGAAATAAACCACACAAAACATTGAAGCTTTGGATAAGCAATAGTATATCCTGTGTGTTTAAAATGTATTGATGCAATACACTCCGGTGGCTGATGCAATACACTCCGGTGGCCTAAGTGGTTAGATCGTCTGCCTCGGATGCCGGATATCGCAGGTTAGAACCACGCCGAGTTCATACAAAAGGCTTATAAAAATACACTCCGGTGGCCTAAGTGGTTAGAGCGTCTGCCTCGGATGCGGGATATCGCAGGTTCGAATCCCGCCGAATTATACCAAATGCTTATAAAAATTATACTAGCAGCTGCCTCGCTAGACGCTTAGCATTAAGAGGTTAGTGTTAGGGTTGTTGCCTGGTGTTAGGATAATATGATTATATGGGACATGATGCCATATGTCTGCGGCATGATGCCCCAGTGCTAAACATCACTAAAAACTGCCACACTGTAGATATTTTGTCGATATGACTGAAACTTGCTAAAGCTACGTTGAAAACCCATATCACACACAGACACACATGAAAAATGATGGCGTTTCCATACCCCCAACAGGCGTTTCTTGCTTTTATGTGTAGGAAATGTGTATTTACAAATTGTTCATCAGTAAGTATGTATTGCACACACTTTTGGAATTTTATTTCAGATACACTGACATTTAAGTTTTGTCTGGATTACTTGTTTGTGACAATTCCTTTGAACGGCTCAAAACTCTTTTACTGTACTTTAATGTTCTTTTTCAAAATTTTAATAACAATGTTTCTGGGACTTTATTTCTGCCGCTTGAACTGTGGTGGACAGGTTTAACCAAGAGTAACTGTTCCAAGCTGTTCTTTGCTTAGTTGAATCCAGATCATTCCTAAATAATCCCTTTTCTTTCATGTGACACTTTATTGTTTTGTTGGTGTTTTTTTTTTTGTTTTTTTTTTTAACAGAAGAAGTCGTTTTCATTTCGGTGATTGCCACAATTAAGAGGGCGACGATACATTAGGATTGAAAGAGTGGTAAAAGAAAGTATCATAGTATCTCTTAAGTGATGAGTATACATGACATTTATTTCCAAGTCCTACTTTTGTATTTTCGTGTGTGCCGTCTGCAGACGCTTATAACGCCCAATGAATCGACTAACACTGTGTTAATGTTCAATAACAAAAAGACGTTTAATCTGTTGAATTATAATGAAATTGCGTCGGTCAGTAGTATGAAAGACTATTAAAAAGCAGGCGGGTCATGAGGTAGGAAACATGCAACCACTTTTCTTAGCTATCCATTGACAGTTGTAATTACAGCTTCGGACAGCAAGAAGCCATCCATAAATGACGTTACGCACCTAGGGAGAGGAGGGGGTCACACATTTGTGATGATATGTGACGATTGGGATAGAGTGTCTAAGAAATGTAACGTCACATCAAATGCGCAACTTTAAATAAGTTTTTATAATTTTCGTTCCTAAGTTTTTGATTGCTTACAATTTATTTAATGACGTTTAAAGTAGCTTCACACATGTTGTGCAGGAGCTCAAATTAAAATGGACTCATCTTCGAACTATCAACACACCAACTAGCTCCAATAGTGGCTTATTCCAAATAGCATTCTTCCGTTTCCGGTCCGCTGGTGTCCTGAAAACGAAGTTGAAATAATCTTTTTTCGGTGGGGGTAGGGCAGAGCTTTGTAACGTCATATTTGAGGGGTTTTAACTTTTTGTGACGGAGGGGAAGGGGATTCAAAAATCGGCCAAGATTGCGTGACGTTATTTATGGATGGCCCCCAATGGGCACCTCTTAATAGACTAAAAAGAGGCATTAGGCGATTCCCGCGGTATCGACGCGTGGTTCTGCCTACCCATTAAGATAAACCTATTTGACTGGACATTGATTGGTATCGTGGGAGGAACTGATCGGACTATCGGCGATATTACTGATCAAGCAATTTTCTAATCCATTTGAAAGTTCGGTTGTTTCACGATAAGCCAGTCTTAAAAATTAACACGCCAGCAAGAAGCTTGATAAGACCGTTTGAAAGAATAACAGTTAATTTTTTCTACAAGTGTCATTTGTCGGAATGATAATGGAGCACCCGTGAATATCAAATCAAAGTGAAAGAACTGAATCACAAATATTTCTTGTAAAAAAGGGAGAAAAAAGACGACAAACTTTCTTTTTATTCGCAAATGATATAAATTTCTCTAGAATTTACTTTTGCATTATAGCTCAATAACTATATCTAGATATTCTTAGCTATATGTAGATATTCTAAGATCATGTCTATTATTCAAGCAATGTAAATTACAACTTGAAAAGAAACAAGAAGCAGCCTACAACTTTCATATATCACTCCAATCTCGGTAATAGCCAGTCCAATATCGGTAATAGCCAGTCCAACATCGTTAATAGCCAGTCGTAATCTGGTTGAAAGTTCGATGGTCAAATGGTGTAGATCGATAGAAATTAATTTTCTTTGAATATTCCCAGCAACCCTCCCACAAAACAAATATGTTACTAATATAGAGTACACTATTTTCTATCCTTGAAGCTGATTCATACGTAAGGTAAATATTATGTTGCAAATCCCGTCCGAAAACGAGAGCAAAGCATTTTACGTGCTTTAAAATCAATATCGGACCATAGAAACCAATTATTTCATATAAAAAGTTAGGATAATTTATAAACAACCAATGTTTTTTGTCACGACAGGAAATTTGATTTGGTGCATATATGTTAAAATGATAACAATTTTAAAAAAACCTCCAAGAAACAACAATAATTATTTATAAAATCATTTAAGATATTTTTGTTGAAAATTCCTTTTGCAAACATTAACGATATAAAAGGATTTTAGTCGGTTATATGAGATCATAGAAAGTCTTCCGAAAATTTTTAGTTGGCTATGGTGTTTATAGCCACAAATCCATTTTTTTTATATACGGCAGAAATATTTATACTCGGAAAAGAATACGTTCAAGGTCTTAAAATCAGAAAATGTAACGCGGTAGGTATTTTTCTTTTAAACGATGTTTATGTTTACAATTGTTCAGTACTAAGATCAAGGTCTGATAACTGAAATTAAGACTCAAGGTGTTACTGGTACTCGATGCCGGACAAAGTAATCGAAGCTGGTTTCATCCAGCATGTACGATCAAAGAAGCTGGAAAGAAACATGAAAACTATTTTGGTTGCATTGCTATATGATATTGCTGATGTTAATAACGCCCGATTTCTGTCCCAAGTGTACAACATTTGCCCAAGCATAAAGTACTTTTTATCTTAGATGGGGTAACCAAATGCACGTGCATTTGCTAATCAGAAAGGCAAGACGTCTATCGTGTAGAGGCAATAGTCCATTTCAAGTAAATGTGTAACAGCTATGTTTTCTCGATGGCTTATATGAAGATATATGAACCCGACTATGAAGATAGTCTGGCATGCGATTTTACTTAAGCATATGGAGAAGACATGATGAAGTGAGTTGAACTAGTCGATGAAACTATAACTTTTAATGCTGTCAAGTAAGGATTGCCTGGTTTATCATACCGAAATGAAATCGAGAAGAATCTTCATTTAAGTCCATCTCCTTTCACCGCCTTCCTTAACTATGTCATCTTTTATACTTATTGCTTTTATAAAATGTCAGCCTACAGCAATTTTTTTTTCCTCCATTAATAGAAGATATTCACACCAATCTTGATGTCATTGTGTCGTCATTGATTGAAGTGGACAGGCATGATGTGAATGATAGATCTATTTCTGAATCGCATCTGACGACACGTCTCAATCAATTTTAATTTATTGGCTATCGGGCAACACTTGTTTCGGATCTGAAGAAAATAAGTTTTGCAATGGTTGCTACCGACTAGCGTTTTCAATGAAAAGCAGAAAACAAATCCATTTTGGTTGTTTATTGTATTCGTACCAAGGAAAAGATGAGTTCGTAACTAGATCAACCCTTTATTTCATTTCAGGTAGAAAGGTGAGCAAGTGGTTAGATTATACAGGAAAAAAAAAAAGCAAGAAAAGCAAGGATGAAAAACCCCAAACATAAACAAAACCAAAACAAAACCGAAAATAAGGCAGATTGCGACCCTTATAGGATTACAGAAATCGTTTATCAGCAGTATTGGATCAAGAAGGGATTAATTTGTCCTTGTGGAGCTGTTACCTATTGGTGAGCTGTTGGATAAAGTAGCTGATGTTGACCATACAGTTAATTAACCGCTCCGGTGATCTAGTGGTTAGTGCGTCCGCGGGAGGTCGCGGGTTCGAAGCCCGGCTGAGTCATACCAATGACTCTAAAAATGGTACTAACACCTGCCTCTCTTGGCGCTCAGCATTAAGAGTTTAGTGTTAGGACTGGTAGGTCTGGTGTCAGGGTAATGTGACTGGGTGGGACATCATGTCATATGTATGCGGCATGATGCCCCAGTACTAGACATCACTATAAACTATCACACTGCAGACATCGTAGCGATAAGACTGAAAAATTGCTAAAGCTACGTTAAAAATCTAAATCATACACACCATACAATTAATTAAATACATCCAATGCAGAAAATGTGTCAACTTGTACACACGATAATTTCAAAAAATATATTTCTCCCAAGTTTGGCATCGACAGGGCTGATGTAGTCACTTAAGTACAAGACGATTAAGTTAGATTTAAATGATATGTCAAAACTGGACTACAATTTTAACACGCTTACTGACCCTTTACAAAGGATGCCAAGCATCTGGGCTAACCATGGGGATGCACTCAATTTACTATGCCCAGAGTTCTCGGGCTTGACTCATAAATTAAATCTAACAAAAGAAGAGTTGCATGCAGCTTTAGACCTTTCTCAATTTCAAGTTACGGGAACCATTCGTTGAAGATAAAGAGCCATGGTCTTTAAATAGGCGACGACCTGTCACTCTATTTAAAATGTGATGGTTTTATTGAATCAAATTGTTTGATTTCACAGATTGTTTTCATAGTATGAAAGGTTACAGGTATCAACAAGAGAAGCGGTTCAGAGTAACTAATCAGCATGATAGAAGGAACTATGGGACCTACCATCCACCATCTAATTTTCGGATCAGTTTGATGCGCTAGGATTTTAGGAAGAGACATTTACTGATTCTCATATATACATCAAAAGTATATAACACGATTTATAGCCTCCTACCCCCATCCAAATATTGTAAAATTCTAAAAAGTAATTTTTTTCATGTAAAAAATATCCCGGCTCGAAGGAAAATCACTGTCTTAGCCCACCACATCAAAAATTTGTCGGTTCCAAACTG